TTAATTTTTTGCACAAGCCCCAGAGTTCTTGCTTGATGTAGTTTGAATGTTCTGCTTCTGCAAGACAAATAAACAATTACATAAGGAAGGTTTATTCGCGGTAACCCCCCATGAGATGTCTGTTGAGAACCGTAGGAGCCCGCACGCCCCCCGCCCGCAGCTGTAACTCCTCCGGTGACTTGTACGCCACGTCCCAGCGCCAGCTGGCCCTGATCGCCACGCAGCCCCCTCCGGTCGCCGCTTCCCTCCAGCGCAGCCCAACCGACGGCGGCGGGCGCGGCCCTTCCCGGGCGCCGGCGCATGCGCGGGGCGGGGGGCGCGGAGCTTCCGCGGCAGGCGCACGTCCCGCAGATACTTGTCAAACAGCCGTGCCCCGGGAGCCCTGCGACGGGGAGCGCGGTAGAATGCCCGGGGCTGGCAGGTTTTACCGGTGTGTCCGGGCGGGAGGAGGCTGCCGTGCGGCGGTTGCCCGGCGGGGAGGACGCGCGCCCCGCACCGAGCCCAGGTGCGGTTGAGTCCCGGGTGAGGGGACCTGCCCGCTCACCGCTCTGCCCCCGCACCCTGGGACGGGAAAGCGGTGAAACCGGACCGCTCTCCGCCGGTGCGGTTACTTCGGGCGGGCAGCCGGGCATCCCGCAAGGGCCGTTCTTCCCCGGAGGCGGGGGGATTGACCCCCGTCGGGCGGTTTCCCCCGACGGCTGGCTACAGCCCCCTTCAACCCGCCGGGGAAACGGCCGTTAACGGTCGCGGATCCACCGCGGGGAGACAGTTAATGCTCGTGGGAAGCACATCCTGCGGCAGAGCGCTCCGGGCGGGTGCCCCCCCTCGTCCCCCTGCCCTCCGACCACATGCGGGATTCCAGCCGCGTCCTATAAACCCCCCGGCAGAGATCCGCGGGAGGCAGCGTGGATACCGCGCAGCCCCGACACCCGCCCCTTTTCATTTCGACGGGAAAATAGCAGTAAAGCGTTTGAAACCACGCTCCGGCCGTCGATTAAAATAGCGGCGGGGAGATCCTTCGGCGAGGGCCGCCCCGTCTCAGTACCGGAGGCAGAGCGGGGGCTGCGGGGGGCGCCGACCTCAGGTGTAGGGACTGAGGGGCGGCGGGACCGTGTTCCCTATCACCCCCCCCCCGCCCC